GTGGGGTTTGGGCTACGGTGTACTTGGGGGATCTACTATCTGAAACTACCAAAATCCGAGGAGGATCCATTCTGCCTGTCCACTGCCTATAATATCTTTGCTGCTATATATGTCCGGATGAGATCCTGTCACAAGTTCTTTTGTCAGTTGTTGAATGAGTCAAGTAATTTCCAAAGGAGTTAAAGCTTTTTTTGCAGCCTGTTTATATACCCAACTGCGTCTCTGTTCTCATAATGGTAGAAAACGCGAATTTTGACACCCTTCATTGATTCCCTATGTTCATTCAAAATCTATCGATTCTTCAGATTGCTGAGTCCCACACGGGAGAGTTGTGGCGCGGCAAATGGCAAGGAAATGACATTGTGGCTCGCATTCTGGCTGTGCACGAAGTCACCCCACGGATATCTCGCGATTTTCAGACTGAGTTCCCAGCTCTCAGGTCTGTCTACCAACTCTGTTTACCTTCTGGTTTACCATCAAATTCTATCACGTTTAGGATCTTCGCTCACACTAACATCTGCCCAGTTTTGGCAGCCGCAAATCAACCTCCGAATCTAGTTGTTATCAGTCAGTATATGCCTTTTGGTAGTCTCTACAACGTGCTTCATGAGCAGAGCTGTAAGCTTTTCTTGTTGAAAAGCATTTGTTTTTATTAATCATCAACTTTTTAGCCGTTGTTATCGATCACAGCCAAGCCATTCGATTTGCTGTGGATATAGCTCGAGGAATGTCATACCTGCACAGTTTGGATCCTCCTATTCTCAGGTGAACTCAGTCAACCAATCTATGCTGAGATTACATCAGTGATCAACTTTGTTTTACAAATCTTCTCTATGTCATGAATTGCGTATTTTTGGTTATTAATTGACTGGGCTGTTGTGGTAACTGGAAGATGTCCATTTTTGTTTAGGTACTATTTATCAAGCAAGCATGTGGTTGTCGATGAAGAATTAACAGCAAAACTTTCGATGGCAGACACGAAGTTCTCCTTTCAAGAAGTGGGAAGGCTATACTCTCCTGCATGGATGAGCCCAGAGGGTAGCTACTTTCTACTTTCTCACAGAATTTCTTGACTTTGATTGAATTTCAGCACTTCAAAGAGATCCTGAAGACCTAAACATTAGAGCAGCAGACATGTGGAGCTTTGGCATCATGTTGTGGG